CCACAAATAAAATATTAGAATTATTAACTCTACTTTGCATAGGCCAAGGTTGCCAGAATAGAGAGAGATTTTTAGGAAAAAAGAAATCTTTCCTGTGAGGGTGGTGAGGCCCTGGCACAGGTTTCCCAGAGAAGCTGGAAAATATTCCTCTCCTCGTGATCCTGCCTTGCTCCAAACTCCTTTTCTTTAAGAAAACCTCATTTCCTCTCTTTCTGATCCCTTTGGTTGTAAAAGGGGGATTCACATTGGCTGGGAAAATCAGTTCAACAGGGATGCTGATGTCCTGCTAATGGGCAGCGCCTCAGGTATGGGTTAAAACGATTTTAAAGTGCTAAAAGTGGCATTAATGAGGGCCATAAGCTCACTGATGGCACTGTGAGGAAAGAGCTGTCCCCAAAAGCAGCTCCCCCACATCTGGGACATCCCAAGGAGCAGCTGCTCCTGCCAGATGTGCTCCTCAAACAGCTGGCCTTGCTCTGCCTTCCCTCTGGTTCTGTTCTTGCACCTCCTGACCGATTCTCACACCCTAAAATCTTCCCTTGTCCCTCTGCAGAGCAGATCCACACCTGATACACACAACATCTGAGCTTGGGACTCAGACCCCTTCTCCCCCTGATCAAACCAGAAATCATAAATATTGCTGACTGCTCACCTCTGCAAGCCCAGCTGTGAATTTTGCTAGCCCAGCCAGCTTGTTGCCACCTGAGGACTGGGTGGAGGGAGGTTCTGAGGGTGCTGCTCAATTCCCATTCTTTATGGAACCAAACAGGACTCTGAAAAGTTTCCTTGCTGATCACTAAAGTCTGGTAATGGCTTGGGACAAGGAGTTGGACACCCTCAGTGACAAACCGGCCCAAACAGAGCCCAAACCGACTGAGCAGAGCAAAATAAAGAACAAAATTCAGCACGTGCTGATGGGGCAGGGCTGGTAAAGCAGAGGCAGGCTGGAGGCTCCTGTCCCAGCTCCACACAGGTCCTGGCACACCTGTGACACTTGTGGCACCAGCCAGTGTCACACCAGGCAGAGCTGCCTGCTGGATTTTAATTAGAGTCACACTAAATTACATGGGACTCGGCGAGCTCGTCCTTTTCAGCGGGGCTTGGGGAGAATGAAAAGACGAGCATTTTCAATTTAAGGTTTAGTTAGATAATGCCTGTTGGTGCCAGTAGATTACAGAGTGGATATTAAATCCTCCAGGATTTGCAATGGCAAAGTACTCACAGAATCCATAAGCAGGAAGGAGAGCACGGCTGTGGAGCTGTCGTCCCCTGGAGGACCCGAGCAGGAGGAGAAAATGGGAAGTAAATCTTGCCTTTGTAGGGAGCTCCACGCCAAGAGCACACATGGGCAGGCTGTGGCCTCTAAAGGTTCCCCTGCTAAGGAGATTTCCTGCTCCAAATGGCTGGGAAAGGCTTTGTCAGACTGTGGAGCAGGGCTGGCTCTGTGGTGCCAGAGCTCCTGCTGGGGGTTTGGGGACAAGGAGCCCACAAAAACACCTTCTGGGGGTGTCCCTGCAAACCCAGACAGCTGTGCTGTGGTACCTGAGGTGCTCAGACCCTACAACCAACTCTGGCCCTGAGATGTTGGATAAAACCACCCTGAGCTGATGCAGGGGGTGATGAGCAGCTCCTGGCGGCAGCAAAGCAAACCCAAGCAAGCCTTGGGATGAGTTTAGCCCAGCTTCAGCAGGATTTGGGGGCATCTAGGACTCGTCAAGTTCTTCCTAGAGCTCATCAAAGCCAGGCTGAACCAGGTTTGGGGTTCCCAAGATTGGCTGGGATGGGGTTCTGTCAGGGAAAACAAACACTGTGGGCAGAGCTTGACAGAATTTGCTGTAAATCCTCCCCAAAACATCCCAGAGCACGAGGTTCAGGATCAGCAGTGCCAGGGAAGCTGCTCCTGTTGGTCCATCTGTGCCCTGATGCTGCCTGACTTTTCAGGGAGAAAATATTGACAGCCCACATTCACAAGAACATGAAAACTCTTATTTACAAAACACTGAAGAACCGGTAATAACAAACAGAAAGGACAAAATATTCGTCCTTCATTGCTCTCATATATAAGAAGCTTTACTGCTCCAGGTCTAGATATGTGCCTGATGGCAGAGTGTAAGATTATGAGTTTAAAAGCACTAAAATGTGCAAATTAATTACCACAACTAGCCGTGCGTTAATGGCTTAAATGCTGGGCTGTTTTTTCCAGGTTAAGGGGAATATTAACCTGTAAGGAGCTCTATCCGGGTCTGTAGCCTGAAGAGCTAAAAAACCCAAAGATCTGAGTCCTGGCAATGAAAATTCAGGAGCTATCATAGCCTTTGATTGAACATCCCAATAGTTTCATTAAGATCTCGTCCCTGCATTTTATGTTTGCTAATTAGCAAATTCAAACACTTTATCTCCGTGTTATCTTTGTGCAAGAGAGTGGCAAATTTATGTCATTATAAAATATTGCGAGAATTTAAAGGTTCACAAGCAATTAGATTTTGTAATTCTTGTTTACGCCTCTGAAGGATTGTTCATTTTAAAACTTTATAGTTAATATGAACAAAGATAAAACAGTGGCCTGCATTGCTCTGGTGGCTGAAGTCAAGTGAGCTGAATGGATTATGAGAGACAAATGTATTCCCTGGATATTTTGGGGAATTTACACCCCAGCAGAGGGTCTGTGCCCGGGTTAGGGACATTTCCCTTGGCATTGTCCCGATGAGGAAGCATGGGGTGATGAACACGGGAGCAGGATGGAGCTGTGGTGGTGTCACAGCCGGGTTTTGCTGGTTCCGAGGGTAAAAAGCGATGGATGCGCTGCCAGGGCCGGAGCCGGCGGTGCCGGTAGGGATGGATACAGCATGGCAGAGCGCTGACACCTGCAGGAGCCACCTGGGACTGGCCAGGGACCCTCACCTGCCCCAGATTGTCCCTGGGTTTGGCCAGGGACCCGGCACATCCCTGGGATTGTCCCTGGGTTTGGCCAGGGACCCAGCACATCGCCCCGGGATCGTCCCCAGGACTGGTGCACTGGGATCCACCCTGGGATCAGCCCCAAGACCCTCCTGCCCCTGGGATTGACCCATGAAGTCCATGAGCCACCTCCTGTCCCTGGGGTCCATCCTAGGACTGGTCCCAAGCCACCTCCTGCCCCCAGGATCCATCCTGGTACTGTCCATGGAGCCACATCCTCCCCTGGACTGGACCCAGGAATGACCCCAGAGCTGCCACCTGCCTCTGGCATCCACCCTGGGATTGTCCTCCTGCCCCAGGACCAGCCTCAGAGCCACCTCCTGTCCCCAGGATCCACTCTGGCACTGTCCCTGCAGCCACCTCCTGCCCCAAGTAACCTGACCTGGCAGTGGCATCCCTGTCCTTTGGAATGGGATGAGCTTTCAGGTCCATTCCAAGCCACCCCATGCTGTGATTCCGTGATCCAGGCTGGCCAAAGGGCTGTCCCAGCTGCTGGTTTCACTCGGAGGCACCCTGTGGATGTCACTGAGCCTTGCTCTGACAGCCCCTTCGGGTGTCCAAGTGTCCCCTGCACCCCCACAGCTGCTGGCTGGGCCAGGGAAACCCATCACCCCTATTCCTTAAGGAATCATGGAATAATTTTGGTGGGGAGGGATCAAAAAAAGCTAATTTAATCCAACCCCCCTGCATTAAAAGCCTTCCATTCCAGCCCTGCTCCCTGCTCAGGCCAGGAGCTCCATCATCATTTCCTGGTGTCACTGAGCCCAGGAGGTGCCCAAAATTCTCTCTTCTCCTGCTCCAGTGGTGGAACTGAGACGTTCTGCAGCAATTCCAGGACAGGAAGAAGATTTCTCTTTGATTGCTTTTTAATCACAGTAATAACAGTAATGGAGGCAATGAGTGGAATTGATGGGAAAGAGCTGAGCTCTCTCCTCTGCTAACTCCCTTGTGGGGTAAACAAGGATTTACCGGCTCCTCCAGTGAATTGGTGGCATTCTCACTCCTCAGGATGAGTGCTGCTGCTGTCTGGGGGAAAATAGCTGGTATTTAGTGCCTGGGAGTAGAAATATGCCAGGAATCATCTGGAAATCTTCCTGTGAATAACCTTTGTCCTCACAGAGGGATGTACAATCGCTCCTTTAAGCAGCTGTCAGTGCTACATCCACTTGGTTTTGGCCTTGAATCTGCATTTCTGGCACCCCACAGGGGTTTTTCTTTCCCTCAGGGGAAGGAGAAGCTGTGATGGACACAAGACCTTCGAGCTGAACAGAACCAGAGGTCCCAGAAGGGCTCAAATGGGTCGCAGAGGTGCCCAGAACCAACCTCCTGGGGAGATCCAGACCCAGGCTGGGGCAAAATACTCTTATTTTGGCCAGTAAATACAGGATGGTTTAACTGGCACTGGCTGAGGGGTTTTCCAGAAGTGCCCTTGGGAAGGATTTTGGGAGCTGACCTAGCCGGGTATTTTTGGGGTGGTGTACTGGAAATGCATCCATCAGCTTTTGACCTTCAAGGGTGTGGGAATTTCCTCTGACCTTAAATATCCAAAAAAGCAGTGAAAACGGGTTCCCCAAGCTCACAGAAAGGATAATTTGGAGAAACTCAGCCTCTCTGAGAGCACAGAAACACCACAGACAGAGCTCAGCAGGCTGGTTTTGGTCAGACATGGAGCTTTCTCCTTTATTTCTGCAGCGTTTGAGGGGCCTCGTTTACATCTCGTTTATCACCAGCGCAGCCACGTCCTGTCTGAGGAGGAGGAGGAGGAATCCCTCCGGCTTTGCTGACCAAAACACCATCCAAACAGTTCCTGCCCACCTCAGAGCCTCGCTGGAAAGCCCTGGGAAGCAGAGGTACCACAGGGCTGGGATGTGCCCCATCCCGGGGGGAAAAGGGGCTGGGGCACCCCAGCAGGGTCCTGGCGTCCTCCAGGGCTGGGACAAACAGGGAGCAGCTGCATTCCTGGTGGGAATTTGGGTGTGCAAGGGCTGGGGGAGGCCCCTGGGGAGGGGAAGGGGAGCAAAGGGGCTGTGGGGGCACAGAGAGGGCAGGGGACAGCGGGAGGAAGGGACAGTGGTGTCCTCAGGCACAGCTCAGGGCAGGGGGACAGGGGATTTTAACATCCAAGCTGAGGAGGAGCAGCAGCAAGAAGGGTCGTGCCCATGTTTTGGAGCTTAAAAAGGAGGTGGTGGAAGGTTTTACTGGACCTGCTCAAGAGCAAACAGAGCTGGAGTGGGCTGATTTTATCCTTTCATGCACATCCTCAAACCCCTCAGTGCTTTTCTCAGTGATTCCATCCCTTTTTTCACATCCCTTTTTTCACATCCCTTTTGTCACATCCTGCCCTACCACACCAGCCCCTTCCCCACTCTGGTCTTTATTGGGGGCAAAGAAGAAAATCATCATAAAGTGACATTTCAAGTGCTCTGGAGCGACCAACATCCAGCCCCAGGAGTTTTGGGTGAGGTGTTGTGTTAAAAAGCCGTGAGTATCTTTGTGAAAGGATGAGCCAGGAAGGAATTTTCAGGTGGGACCTCCCTCAGCAAGGTGCTGCAAGCAGGAAAAAGTAGGGGGAAGCCATTTCAAAGCTGCTTGAATAGAGCAAACCATGAAAAGGAGCTGTTAAGTCTTGGTTTTCACCATTTCAGGGCTCTTATTCCCATTTCTCCCCCTGCATGGCATGGACTGAACCCCTCAGCTTGTCCATGGAGAAGGAAAATCCCCTCAGGGAGATCATGGAATGGTTCTCCAGCCCTGGATGTGATTCATCTGTCCAGGGGACAAATACAAAAATATTATCCTGAGCAAAAAGCTGTGGCAGTAATTCTCATTGCCCACTGCAGGGAAAAAATAAAATATAAAATACCTGAACTACAGTATATAAATCAATTTTGGTTTAGGGGAATTAAGAAAAACCACCACAAACCAGAAAAGCACCCAGCACCTATGGCATCTAATCAATCTTGTATTACTAGGATGGATTTGCTTTTTATTCCTTAATTTGAAACGGTGGCTGGAGGGGCACTTTAATGGGCTGGAAAGCCTCCCTGCCCTCTTCCAGCAGCTCTGGAAAAATCCTGCTGGGGTTTTTTGGCAGGTGAGGAGCTGAGCTGAGCTGATGGAAGACCCTGGGGACGTGTGATGCCACCAGGGGATCTGATCCCAGTGGGAGCTGGGTGTCCCCAGCGTGGAGAGGCACGGGAAAAGCTCCAGCCTGGGACCTCTCCGTGCTGGGAAGAGCTTTGGGAACACCCAGCTCAGAAGAGCTTTGGGAACACCCAGCTGGGGCCTCCACCAGGATTTAGCAGCTCTGGGGACAGGGGGACAGCTGCCTAGCAGGGGGTGCCACCCAAGCATCCGCAATTCCCGGGAGGAGCAGAGCAGCTGGGGACAGCGAGGGGACAGCAGAGGGTGTTAAGGCCTGCCGAGCTCTCAAGGCCAGCGGGTGATTTGAGGAAAAGTCCCGGTTTGCTCAGGGAAAGGCGATTCCCTCCTGCACCTCCCCTGGCCCTGGCAGAGATTAGAGCAGTAGGGTTAAAAGAGTAGCAGGTACATCCGTGAAAATCCGCAGCTGAGCCTTCACTCCGAGCGCTGCCGGCTCTCCCCGACATCCTCAGGGGCTCAGGGGGCCTCGTTGGAGGTGGCTCCGTTGCCTTTGTTGACGTAGAAGGGGCGGTAATGTGACTGCAAGGGAGAATTTGGGGCACGTCAGTTTGACCCCCCTCCTTTTCCTGACCCGCTGCACCTCACCCATCCATCCACATCTTACAAATCCCTGCCTCAGCGCCTCCAGCTTTTCCTCCTGGACAGCAGCACTGCCTCCTTCCCCTCCTGGAGGTGCTGGAGACATCAAATGCAAATAACTTGGCTTTTATTTTTCTGTTTGATTTACACACGTGCTTTGCATGGCCCTCACTGCCGAGCCAAATGATGCCTCATGCAAAAACCTCAGACTGTGACTCATGGCTTGATGAGAGGGGTTTTTTTTTGTGGGGGGAGAAGGGGAATGTCACCTTTATTTTTATGCCTCTGTCAGTGTGCTTTAATTGCTCACTAACCTGACAGCTCAGGGGAGCTGTCACACTCGGAACCACGCACAGTTATGCAAGTTGTGTGGGGTTTATTTCTGCTGGCAAACCCCAAACTCTTGTGCTTGGGAGTTCTCACACAACGGGGCACTGCTGCAGCACCCGGTGTTTGTGTAAACACAAACACGAGTGGAGAGATGGGGCAGAACCAACAGGAACTGGCATTTTCTGCCTCTCCAGCTCTGTTTGCTGCAGTCCCTGAGTGGATCCATTGCCATCAGGACCTGTCCCTGGGATTTCACTCTGATCTGCCCCATTTCAGCCAGCAGCACCAGGCAGAGCTGTGCAGCCTCACGCTGCAGAAACAGCAGCTGATTTATTTGCTGGGATCACAGAGTCACAATCTCCAGCCTGGGTGGGAATATCCTCCCACCACTGAAGGAACAGCCAAGGAATTCAGGAAAAAAATGGGGGTTTTAATGCCCAGTCTGTCTTAGGTTTGTTCTCACGTGTAGAAGGTGGGAGAGACCCCACAGGCCCCTTTTAGTGCAGCCCTATTTAATATCAGGAACAGCAGGGCATAGCAACCCCAGCCCATCTCCCTGGTCAGTGCTCAGCACCTCCTGCTCAATCTTTTGTCAAGACTCTTTTCATTTTATGGCTTTAATTTCCAACAGAATTAAGATATGAAAGAGGGGGGTCTTCATTTAAAAGAGCTCCCTGGGTGTGAAAAAGACCTTCCTCCTTAAACAGCGCAGTCCTTTGTGAAAATTCATATTTACAGACCTTTTAGAATGTATATTACTTAAATACACATTTAAGGCTATTTTAAAAGCCAGATTATTGGCCCAATAGACCATAAAAGCTCCTGCAGAGATACTGCAGCCTGGAGTATGTATTTCTATTTTGGTGCTTTTAAATGCTTGTATTTATCAGCTCAATTGTTGGGTTCAGGCCTGTGTGGTGAAAATTGGCTATAAAAAGGAAATGGTCATTGCAAATGCGTGCATGGGAGAGGGAGACAGGGCAGGGAGGGTGGGAGAGGTTACTCAGATTTTCTCTGTGGGGATTAAGGAAAAATCACTGGGAACACAATGGATGTGGGTGATGATGTTTTAGAGGGTCAAACCCAAGGCAGAAGGGATGGCAGAACTTTGCTGCAGCACCTTTAGAAGCTCAAGGCTGGATTTCCTGGAAGAGTCTGCCAAGGGACATCCCTTCCACAGGAATTCACCTCCTGTGGAGCCTTGAAAACGGAGCAGATCCAGCTGCAGTCCTCAGGCAGCCACTTTCTACCTGTGGAGTGTTTCCCTCAGTGTGGGAATGCTCTCATTCCTGACCCTCTGCTCCTTGCAGGTCTCATTTCCCCAGAACAGTAAATCACCTCTCACAAATGTGCACTCAGAAATTACAAAGAAAATAATAATAATAATAATAATAAATGTTTCATTTGTGGTGGCTGAAGCTCGAGAATCTTAAATCAGATCATGCAAGGCCTTAATGCAGCACAGTGTGAATAAAACCAGATGAAGCTGGTGCTGCTGAGGCAGTGCATTTGTGTATTTGGGACTACAAGCCCTAAAACATCACTGCCTTGTGCCTGTTACCATGATGGGTGCCAAATGAGTGGCTTGGAGATGTTGTGGTGATTTCTGACCCCTCAGCCCTGATCCTGCATTGGCACTGCAGGACATGACCAGCAAGGCACTGTGACGTGGTTCTTCCTGGTGTCATTTCCACATTGTGGATGTCACAGAGTGACACGGAGTGGGTGTCACCCCTCCAGGCAGGAAAAGTCCTATCAGGATTGTTTTACAGGATTTGCACTGTTCCTATCTTCTGCATCAAATTTTAGGCTGGTGAGGTTTCAAAACTTTTCAAAACTTTTCAAAACTTTTGCAGCACTGATTAGAGCTGTGAAGGTTGTGAAGGGGGTTAATCTGCATCCTGAACAGGAGCAGTGGGGCTTTTATTTCCACATTTCCAAAGGACCCATCCTTATTCCTGAAGCCCCCCCCTGGAACAGGCTGAAGCTCTCCCAAAGAAAAATCGTTATTTTTCTTACCAATACCGACTGCTTGGAGGAGGATTTCCACGTCTGTGGCGTCACCTTTGCAGACTGGTGCCTCACGATGGAAGGGTAGGCTGTGACAACGCAAAACACAGCTGGGTCAGCCCCTGCCACTGCCACCCCCTGTCCCCAGGACCAGCAGCAGGACTGGAAGTGCCACCTCATTAGTATTGCATTGCTCAACATGGAAATGCAGCCAGGGTGGGACACGACAGACAGCCGTCAGACAGATGCCTCTTCCACCACCCAATCAGGCAGGAAAAGGCAGGAAAGAAAGCCTGGCTAATTAAAATGTCTGAGGAATGCAGGGAGGTGGAATGCAATCAGACCGATTACATTCCAGTCCCCAGGTCAGCGTTCTGGCTCTGGCAGGGAGCACTGCAGGCTGTTTCATTGGTGGCAGGAGCTGAGCCTGGCTTTCCTGCAGCTCCTCTGGGAGCTTGGCAAGCCCCAAGCCCTGGCAGCCCCCCAGCCCTGCCCAGGCTGCAGCACCACGCTCAGGGCATCACACCATGGCCCTGCCCCACCATCTCCAGTTAACCAGCCCTGACTCTGCTCAGCAGGTTCTGGTGCTCTTGGATTCCACCTCGGGTGGGTGATGAGGTGGTGGAAGGGTTTGGTTCTGGTGAAGGAGGCCAGGCAGCTCACACCTGGTTTTTTTTAAAGTTGTGCTGTTTGTGTTATTTTGCAGTGATGAAACTAGAGGGGCAAATGGTCACAGTGCCTTCCTCAAAAATCATCTAAAATTTATCCCCTACCCATTACGAACAAAATTTAAAATCCCTCCAGCTGTTTCCTAGATAAAACTTTAATATTTTTTAACACTCCTTGTTGCCCTGCTTCGGCAGAGTCGCTCCCGTGCAGAGAGCTTGGCAGTCAGGCCAAGGTGTGGGGCTGCTCCAGGAAGCCAGAGCAGGATTCAGGGCTTTGTCACCTCGAAAGGGGCAGGAGGAAGGGAATACTCAGCTCCTAGTACCGGTCTTAGTGAAGAGGCTCCCATCAGACTGTTTGCTGAAGTCACCGGGCGGATTCTGTCCCACCGAGGAGAACTGAAAAGGCAGCTTAGTGCCATTGCCTACTGGAAGACAGAAGAGGTTGTGTTATTCCACGGGGCTCCAGGGGGGCATTTCCAAACACACCTGTGGCACCTGGCTGGGGGGGCACGGGCAGGGACACCCTGTCCCTTTTGTCCCAGGGACAGACGGGAGCAGTGTGTGGGTGTGAGGTGATGCCAGCGCTGCTGGCGGGGAGAGCTCTGCTCCCCAGAGCCCCAGAGCACAGGTGTGGCCGGAGCAGCAGCTCCCTGCACCTCCAGAGGCAGGAGGGATGACTCCAGCACTGCCCTTGCCTCCCAGCAGTGCTTCATTCAAACCCCACTGCCATTAAAGCTTCCCCTCCTGGCCTCCTCGGGCTCGGGCTCTGGCTGCCAGGAGGGATCTGAGCGGGGAGATGAGAGGGACACAACCCTGCCTGGAAAGCAGGAGGGGCTGAGGTGTGGCTCTGAGTCACCAGAGCTCCCCAGGCAGGGTGGCCGTGGCTGCTTCCAGCACCAAGGGAAAGGCTGGACCTTGTAGGAATAAAGCAAAGGAGGAAAATGTTGGAAAAGGAAGATGGGGATCTGGGAAGAAAAGGCATGAACGTGGGCCTGGCTGTGTCTTTGAGAACTTAGGAATGAAAGGTGTGGTAGGAAGAAGCACCTTGTGCTTCTGAGACTGGCTGAGGGTATTTGGAGCCTCCTCCTGGCTCTGCCACAACCTCCCCAGAGCGCTCTGAACGTTTGGGATCCGGGGATCTTTGCAAACTGCCTCCTGTGCTTTCCACCTCCTTTCTCTGCGTGAACAAGGAGAAGCAGGGATGCCTTTCCCTCCTCTGAGCACAGCACCGACAGCCTGGGCTCAGGCAGTGCTGGCAGCCCGGCAGGAGCCGGGATTTTCGGGTGCCAGGCAGCCGAGAGGGGCAGCAGGAAAGGTGGGTTAGTCAGGCAGAAAGCTGTGGCACGGGGGGTTAGATCCTCTCACACTGAAGGCGGAATTACCCGTACCAAGTGTTTCCTCAGTCGCTTGGAAGGAGGAAAATTCCCATGACCGTGGGTTGAAATTGGCTGTAAAACAAGAGCATCCAGTTCAGCAGTCGGCTCCTGACGAGCTGCCTCAGAGGCCTGTACCTGGCATTGCTCTAGAAAAGGTCCCCACCGAGCTGGGAGCAGCCCCAAAACAGAAATCTGGGCCCAGGCAGCAGAGGAGGAGCCGGGTTTTATCCCTGGCTAAGAGGGGATGGGGAACAGGCTTCTCCTGCAGTGAGCAGAGCTCTCAGAGCCGCAGTGAATTGCCAGCTCAGGTTTGGGTACTCAACATGAGAGCTCTGCAGGCAGAGGTTTGGGTTCTGAGCTCCAAAGACACCAGGACAGGAACATTTCCCAGCCCTGTGCCAGGTGTGTGCCCCAGGATTCCACCAGGACAGACTGGTGCTGCTGCAGCCCTCTGGGGAGGCACCGGGCTCCCAGGAAAGCAAAAAGAAGATGGATTCTTGGAGCTGCTCTGCTGCCATCCTGTGGGCTGCTTCTCTGTTTTAGATGTGTTTCTGTTCACACAATTCTCTCTCTGTGTGCCTGAGTCCCTTCTACTCTTCATTCAAAGACTTTCAAGATGATTTTTCCAGTCTCCTCCCAGCTTTGGCCAAAGTCTTGGACACATCAGGAGAAGAAAGTTTAGTGGGAGAGGATAGAAAGGAGCATGGAGCAGCTTGTTCCTCTGTCTTTGAGGCAGTGTTGGAAATGTTTTATGTCCCTCTGCCTCATCCTGTCATCCCTGCAAGCAAATATTGGCTCACAGAATGGTTTGGGTTCAAAGCGACCTTAAAAATCATCTTGTTCCAGCCCGACGTGGACAGGGACACCTTCCTCTGTCCCAGGGTGGTCCCAGCCCCGTCCAACCTGGCCTTGGGCACTTCCAGGCATCCAGGGGCAGCCACAGCTTCTCTGTGCCAAGGCCTCACCACCCTCACTGGAAGAATTTCTTCATAATATCCCACCTAAACCTCCTCTCTGTCAGTTTGAAGCCATTTATTAAGAAACTCGAGAACAGTGCTTGAATTTAATCTCCTTGAATTTAAGCAGGGCTTAAAACCAGTAAGTTCAGCTGGAATCCAAGCAGCTCCTCAGTTTGGGCTGCTGTAATTAGCAGAGAGCATTCCTCAGTCCAGCAAACAGACTTTGCACTGTGGCCTGGGGCAGAACCTGCAGTGACCCAGCCTAGACAGAAACAGGGTGTGTAGCAAAGCTGCCATGAGATATTGAAGGATTCCAAGAGTGTTGCACAACGCAAAGGGTGGTCCTCAGGTTTTTTTTTCCCTCCCCTTTTTGGGATTCTTTAGGAAAGATGCAATCAGCTGCACTGCTGGGCTTTGGTGCACGGGGCACAGAGAGTTAAATGATGCTGGGGATGCTGTGTTATTCACCAGGCAATCCTTGGCTAGCCAGCCTGCAGGCCAAGAGGCTCTCACATCTCCTGCTTTGCCTACTGATTCATCCTGCTCCCCAAATCCCTCCCAGCGTGATTCCAGCAGCTGGATCCTCCCTGTCACCCCTGAGCCCTGACCCTGCTGGGGTCCAATCCCTGTTCCAATCCCTGTTCCAATCCCTGTTCCACACAGGCTCTGTGTGCAATCACTGCTTGTTTTGGCCACAGTCACTTGGTCGATAGAAAACACAGAATGAGTAATTGGGAAGGCAGCAGTGCCGGTGTTTCCAGGAAAACACGGATGTGGAGGTGGAATAAAGCAGCAGCCCAGTGCAGGAAGAGGGGAATTGCTGTGCAGCCCTCACTCTGCTCTGGACACAAACAACCACGTGGATCTGGCAGTGCCTGGAGATCCCTCCTGGATTTTCAGGAAGCTGGAATGCTGGATCCCAGCTGGAGCCTCTTCTCCCAGGTGTCAGCAGCTCCAGAGAGCAGCAGAGGGAAGCTCAGGCACTCATGACAGCACTGGCCATGCTGTGCCACAGCCAAAATGGCTTTTTCCTTCTTTTTTCCTTTCCTTTTTGCCAGGCTGGGCATTATCCCAGTCCCAGACAGAGGTGGGATGACATTGCCCAGTGTTCCTCCCTGCCACACTCCTTAAATGCCTTTGAGGCTGTTTCCACCTGAAAGCTCCACATTTTGGGTAGAGATAAGCTGAGATAAGCTCAGCTTGTGCAATGCTAGAATTGATTTTCAAACTTCCCTCAGGCTTGGAAAGTTTTGGGTGCAGGGCTGAGTCTGTGGTCTCAGCAGGATTTCCCTGACAGCACAAGGACAGGGCTGAAATTTGGTTACTTGCTTGGTGCCACCCTTCCTGTTCTTTTGTTCCTCGCCTTGCCTGTGATTTCAGCACTCCCAGCTCCCTGCTCTGGATGCCAATTCAGGACTTCCAAGGGTGATTTTAGAGCTGGAGGTGTTGGAAACATTGGTTCACTCCAAAAATTCATCCTGCAGCGGCCACACAACAAGTGGGACATAAATAAATCACCAGGGCTCATGTCAGAGCTCAGAGAGGAACTCCAGACTCCTGCTTTTCTCTTTTTTTAGGACACATTCCTCACTTCTTCTGTCCTTTCCCTGTAAGGAAAAATTATGTTTGGTGGTGAAAGTAAAATCTTAATGCTTAGTGCAGCTTTCACTTGATAGCACAGAGAGATAAGCTTTGGGTGGAGAAAAACACAGATTTTATCCTGGTAACCCGTGTTAAAACTCCACTATATTCACTCTGGGATAGAGTTCAGTCACTCCAGCTCTTCCCCATCAAACTGAGCACCTTTTCTGCCTGGTTTGAGGCAAAACCTTGTCAGAGCTCTGTAAGCTGGAGAGAAAACGTGCAGAGGGATGGATCTGAAAAGTGAGGGAGAGCAAATTTTGGGATACATCATGAGTGAAGCTCCTTTCCTGAGCTGGAAGGGAGCCTGTCCACCTCTGGGATGCCGTACCTTTGGGAGACAGGAACATGGAAAATCTCTTCAGGTTGTCAGGCTGGTTCCACTCGTAGTTGTTCATCATGAACCGGTGGTCCCCTGGAGAGGCAGAGCAGGGCATGAGCTGGGGGTGCACTTTGGTGGTCTTTAATCCCCCTGTGGGATCTTTGCCTGGGAGCTGAAGCAGCTCTGGAGCTGCCCAGAGTGTAAAATAAAATGTTCCCTCAGAGGCAGAGCCCAGCTGAAGCATTCAACCTTGCAGCAGACACAGGATCCTCTAAAATCCACAGGTACACCTGAGGGTTGAGGCATTTTCTTGCCCAAATACTGCAGTGTGGCTAAAAATGACTCCAGAGGTTTGAGTTTGGCTCCTTTTTGTGTTCAACCTGAGCACAGGTCTGGCTGATGGAGAACTGTCACTATATAAAGCTCCAGGAATCAGTTCTGGGAGGGTTAAATGGCTTGGCTTCTCCACTTTTTAGGGAGAGATGCTAAAGCTGAGTTGCAAACAGCTCAAAAGTCTTGGACAAGGGTGGTTGGTTCAGGTTTCATGGATCAAACTTACTCCTACACAGCCTGGGTTTGGAGTTCTGACACTGATTCACAGGAAATGAGGCTTTATCACTACACTTGCTCATAAAAAACATTCTTTGAAGGCCTCTATAAACCTATTGTTCTGTGCAAGGAAGTAAATTCGGTTTTGATGTTTAAATAGCTCCATTCCTTGATTCTCATGTCACTGAACAAACTTTTATTTCTCCCATTTATTTCTGTGCTATTTAAGCTCCCTGATTATTTGTCTCCTCGCCACGTAGGTACCTGTTATGACAACTAAAAGGACCTGGATTCCCTTTGGAGTCTGCTATTAAGCAGCTTTCATTCCATTAATATAATATTTCTTCCTGGGAAGTTTTTTACAGTAGAAGATCAAGCCAGCTGCAAATGAATTTGTTGCAGTGACTCAGGGGGAGTCCGAGTTAATAACTCCACAGTTCCTTAATGGATTTAATTCCCTCACAGCCACTGGATGCAGAGTGCATCCTCTTTCATCTGTAACCATGGCTTGGAGAAAGGAGAGCTCTGAAGCTCCTGGGACTCACTATAAATAACATTTCCCACCTGTTCCCAACTTGTCATTCGGGCAGAATCCAAGCTGTGTCCCTGGGAAAGCTCCTGGAAGCACCCAGGTTTCTGGAAGGAGTTAAAAATGGTTTTGGCACTTGAGTTCCATGGGTTTCAAATAACAGGGAGGGCTTCTGGCATCATGGAGGAGACCCCAATTAAAATAATCAAGAAATAATCAGGCTTTATCCTGAGCTACCAGAACTGAGTAGCTGCAGAACCTTGTTGGGTTTTAAAAATGTCCAAGGAAAATGCTCCAGGACTGGCAAAACACATCCCAGCAGAGGGAATTCTGCACAGCTTCAGGTGAACAAAGACAGAAAAATGCACAGAAGTGATTTTTGGGTCTGTTTGTCATCTACTGATATTGAGTTATTGTCAAATTTCTTGGTGATTCTGGAGCATGTGGAGTGTTGAGAATTTAAATAGGAATGTTTGCAGTCTTGAAAGATAAGTAGTGTTCAATTTCCTGTGCTACTTCAAAGGCAGGGAGAGTTTTGAAACCTGCTGTGCATTCTGAGCACTCTGGGATCCCTGAAAGGTTGGTCCAGAAGGATCTGGTCCATTTAATTCATGTCTGGTGGAGAATGATGGCTCTGGACAGTGTAATGATTAATATAGGATGGGTGTCCAGTAAAGGCTGTGAATTTCAGTGAATTATCAGCGATTTTGCAGATTTGCAGCAGAGTTCCTCAGCTGCCTGTGTTGCATGAGCTGTCCCTGAGGTTATTCCTGCACCTTTTGGACTCCCACATCCTCCTGGAAGGGCAGGGTGCCATTTATCCTCACATCACCCCCTGCTGTCCTGGTGTCTGGGGTTCCTCAATGACTGGGAGATTACATCCAGGTGAGATAACCGCTCATTGCCATCCCTGCTACTCCTGCAAGAGGTCATTCCCTGGGATTAGGCAACGTGCCCAGGGTTACAGAGGCTGCCTGTGGCAGAGCTGGGCAGCTCAGGCAGCACAGCCCCGTTGTGGTGCCCTGTCCCAATCTTAGATGTGAGCCTGATGTGAGACAAGCCCTTTATTCCCAGCTAATTGTGAGGAAGTGGGTTATAAACTTACAAGATTAATTTTGGTGCTGTGGTGTTGGCTGTGACCTCTCTGTTCACCTTAAAGATCACCTTAAACATCACTGAAATGTGGGGAACACCCTGGATCAGGGCAGGCAGGAAAGCTCTCCCAAGGGGAGCAGGGAGAATGATCAGAGTCATTCCAGTTCAAGTTGTAGCTGAACACCCAAACAGAGCCCTCTTTACTTGGAAAATTAGATTTTCAAATATTTCCTTTTCAGTGACAGGTGCTTGCAGGGTATTTCATGCTCCAGCCAGGCAAGCAGAGGCTGAAACCCAGCACTTGTAATGTTTGGTGTCACTCCAGCACCCTTTGATTGTACAAATAAGATTTCACACTTGCCATCCCACATTCACCTTTGGGACGCTGCCTTAGCCCTCAGCAGATCTGTGGAGTTTCCCCTCCTGGAAAATGCCCTGCTAAACTTCCAGGGGCTTGCTGGAGCCTGGCACAGGGCAGGAGGGAAGGGTGGCTGTTCTTGACTGCACACAGGAGGTGGCTAAACCCATTAAATCCTAAACATGAAACCCTAAAATGAACCTGGAATGAACCAAGAATCAGGGGAGTGGGGCCAGTTTGGTGTCCTGCCTGAGACACCCTAAATCCCTGGCAGCTCAGCTGATTCCATCCTCACATAGGAGTGCTAGGATAACTCTGATATTCCAGAATTCATGCTCTGATAACTCTCATATTCCAGGATTAATACCAGCTACAGGAGTTGCTGCTCCCACTTTCCCCCCCAGATCTTTGCTTACTTTCTTCTTCATCAGGAGTGCTCATCATCCTCATCACCCCTGACCCTGCACTCCAGGGAAGCAGGGAGGGAGGGGAGGGGGATATTTGGGCTATTTTACCATTCTCCATGTGGTTCCTCTCGATGAAGTTGCGGCCCAGGTCTGCCTTGCAGATCTTCTCCACGTGCCTCATGCAGACGTTGAGGAGGTCGTCCCTGAGCAGTCCCATGGATGGGCTCATGCTCTCCCCTTCCAGCAGCACGCTGTAGGTTGGGAGGGATGGAGGTGGCACGTAATTCCTCATCAGAGCCCCAAATTCCTGCCAAAGAAAAAAAAAAGGGATCACGGTTAATGAGGAGCATAAAGATGTGGAGGCTGAATCTAGGGGAGCTGGTTGATGTTGGAGTCTGAAAGTGCAAAGGAAAGCAGTGAAGATGGGCAGGGAAATGTTCTGTCCATGGTTTGCAGCCATCCATAAAAACCATGTCCAAGTCCACTCCTCACCTCCCAGAGCAGAGACAGCTCCAGATGTTCAGCTGAATCCCTGCCGTGGATGTGCAGTGAACTGGGGAAGGTTCACCCATCTCACACTTCTCTGGGATTGTCTTTGGGACAAATCCCGTCCTCACAGGGATAAAGGAAAGGGAAATGGGGTCTCTGTCACCTGCAGGAAGAGCACGGAGTCGCTGATCTGGTGGATCTGCTCCCTGTTCTCCTTGTCCTCCCGCAGCAGCTTCGCCCTCTCCTCCAGCTCATCCACGATTTCTTTCACGTTCTCCGAGGCGATCTTTTCCCTCTGATCCAGGGCAGCCTTCACCTCATCCCTCTGCCTCTCCAGGTCACGGATCAGCTCCTTGAAGTGCTGGTCCACCGTGGCTTTCTCGTTGGTGGTGTAATTCTGGATGGGGAAGGGGCAGAGAGAGGAGGCAGCAGCAAAGAGGAGCAAGAAAATATTAAAATTTCAGAGTTATTTGCTAACAGAGAGACACAGAGGGGGTAAATCCAAGGATTCAGCATTTAGAGTATGGAAACTCCAGCCATGCAAGTCTCAGCTGCAGGAAAGTTGTGCCGAGAGAAGCAATACCTGTTCCTGCAATAATCACATGGATGCAATCCAAAAGGGCCACTGCCTTCCCTGCTTCAATTCTATCCCTGGTTCAATTCCTGCACTCACAGGTGATACTTGAAAACACTCTGTAACCTTCTAAATCAGGGTTCTGGCTCCTGGACAATTTGAGGACCAAATTCCCACCATTTCAAAGGATGAAAGGTGCTGAAACAATTTTTACAAGCCTGACCTCGAGGTGCCTCTGAAATATTCCTCAGAAGAAGAAGATGTAACTATATTGAGAGTCAAAATTTCTAGGTCAGGTTTCCAATAATAATAATAATAATAATAATAATAATAATAATAGTAATAATAAAGCAGATGAAAAGCAGAGCTGGTGAGCCAATGTGCTTGCACCACATAAAAGGAAGAAGAATGGCTTTGCCTGTTAATATTATGCAAATTTTCTGGGGTGTCTCCAACTTGTGCTTTCACTGCTTTATTCAGTTTGGCTATAAATGAAAAAAATAACACTGTGACTCTAATCCAACCCTTATCATGGTGCAAGAATTATAAAGGAGCCCTCTCTCAGCATGGAAATAAGCTGTTCCACCATAAATAAGATGTTTGTTGGGTAAATTCTTCTGCTCCTGCTGTCTTATCTCAGTTTGGGCAACCCAGAGCCCTTTTGCAGGTTATTTGTGGATTTTTTGTTTCTAAATCTGCCTGGCTACTGATGATGGAAGTGCCATAAAGGACCTAAAAAAAGGAGCCAGAGCAGGGAGGTGCCTTGGTTCTGTATCAGGGCTTGATCTCCCCGCAGGGAATGTCGCAAGATGACTTCAGTGGGAGTTGTTGTTTCCAAGATTTGGCTTGGAGTTTGGGACAGGGATGAGATAGAGGCCGGGGAGGGGATGCAGTGAGTTAGAACTGGAGGAAAGGAGAGGGCTGTGGGAGAAGGGGAGAAGAAATTGGTGATTACAGGAGGAAGAGGCAAACCGGACATCTCAAACGCACCTTGATGCGGTCCCTCTCCTTCTGCCACTTGTCCACCTCATCTTCCACCTCGATGATCTTCAGCTGCAGCTGCTCCTTCTGCAGCGACAGCTCGGCCTGTGGGGAGGAGAGGAGAGGGAGCTGCTGAGCTGGGGCTGAGGGTGGCCCACTTGAAGCAGCCCTGGTGTGCTGAAGGCAGCAGCGGGGAGGTCCGGGCTGCAATGGGCACCGCGCGCTGCCAGCGGGCACCGGCCCAGCAGATTCAGCTCCCTCAGCAAAGCAGCAGCACCCACCTCCCAGGCTGTCAGGGTGCTGCTTTTAATCACATGGGAGTCATGAGCTGCAGGGGAAGGGAGCTGTTTCAAAATTCAGCTGTGTGTGCAGAGCAGGGCCCAGCCCAGGGTGTGCCTGTGCAGCAATAACAGTTTTCATGTAATTACGGAATGACGTTTGACGAGTGTTGCAACAAGAGGATGATGCCTCAGGCAGGAATTCTGTTTAGACAGGATTGTGGATTAATTTGCTCTGAATTGAGAGCTTTCATGTAGCGATGGAGCTGGGGAATGCTTGGAAAAAAAAAATTAAAAAGAAAAAAAAAATAAAAGCCACAAAAGGAGGAGGGAAGAGGTGTAGTCAACGTGCTTGGCTGAGATCAGCAACTTCGCTGGGATTCATTTGCATTTCGTTGTTCAGAGGCTTCCCAGAGAAGCTCAGAGCTGAGACTGGCACAGGAATTCGTGGCAGTGGAGCTGTGGACACCACACACTGTTTCCCTGGGTCAGCCAGCACCTGGATGTTGGCAAAGCCTTGCCCTGTTAACTCCAGCAGCCCCTCCCTGGGCCATTCCCATTCTCCATCCCTGCCCCACACATCCTGCCCCAGCCTTTCTGCATTTCTGCATTTCATGTGGGTGCAGGTTGCTCTCAGCCATGGCTGGAGGCAATCTGGCTGTGGGACACCCAGCCCAGAGCTGCTGAGGAATTTCAGAGCTGGCAGAAATTCCCTGTGTTCTGTCATGTTAGCAGAGTCCTGAGAACCTGCTGTTCATGTGGGATCTTCTGGAAAATGGCTGGATTAACCCAAACCACTGAAATCCAGGCCAGCAATTAGAGGCATGGATGGATAAATCCGCTCTCACACTCCAGCTGTCCATCTGAGAACTTAATGGAACACAAAAATCTGGGTCTTAATTGATCAGAGTTTAAAAGTTTTCAGTTCCCCACTCAAAATGAAGAGCAGGGAAGAGGCTGTGAACCAGCCCAGGCAGGAGCCCTTGTCCTGATGCCAGACAAGTGTCTGAACACCCTCTGGAGCTGGAATCCAGCACAGCTGCTCTGAGATCCATCAGCCCCAGCTGTTCCAGTTTGGAAAATCTCTGTTTATGGAGGGAGAATGATTGGATGGCGGTTTGGTTGCCTTATAAAACACTAGAAAAGCAGGCAGGAAAAAGGGAAGTGTGCTCAGAGGTGTCTCAGTGCCACAAAAGTTGCATCCTCACATGGTTTTTTAGGAGTTAGGAGAGCACTGGCTTTTTAAATATTATCCACACACCCTCAGTAGTGGCCTGAACGCTGCCATGAGCTGATTCTCATCCTCTCCAGGGGTTCAGGGCACACAGGAAAGGATTTTGTGGCACCAGGGAAGCCACGCCAGCTTCCAGGTGAGAAAATCCGCTCTGCTGCTGATCAAAAGAACAAAGACAGGAGTTTGATCCTGTAATTTTCACATTTTCAAGACAGTGACTTGGAGGAATTCCTGCTGGTTTCCATTCCCACGTGCAGTGGGAGATGTCCTGTGCATCAAGACTCTGCACAGCAGGGAAATGCAATGAGATGAAAATATTTTAGATCCATTTATCCACTGCATTAACCAATGTGAGAAATTACACCCAAATTCCAGTTGTTTTCTTGGGCCACAGAGCTGCATCCAGGTGGCATTAATTGTTTGTAAAGTAAAAAGCTCATCTCCAGAGCAATTATTTCCCTCCTCATCCCCAAAAATCAGGACATCCTTATAGCAATGTGAGTGAAATCCTACAGAGAAAGACTGGAAGGCATTTTTGGGGAAGAGCAGAACCTTCACAGCCATGTAGACACTCCCAAACTCAAGGGATTTGCAGAGAAAATGACAGGAAAAGAAAATACCAGGTGATGGCTGGAAGGTGGTGATAACAATATTCTGCTTTTATAGTCCTTTTTAATTAAGATGTGTCTCCAAGGAATTTTGGGAGCTATTATTTGTGAAAGTGATCCTGACTCTCAGCAGTTCAAACATCCCCCAGAAAGGTGGTGTGGGATGTAACAACCATTTAAGAGCACACAACAATTTGGGGCGAGATTTGTGACTTGCAAATGGAAATTACAGAGATGGTCCCAACAGCCAGGATGCAAATCCCACACTCAGCCAGATTTGGGAAAGGGGAAACACCAGCACAGGCTCCAGCAAGGCCAAGGGAGGTGTGAGTGTGGGGATACTGCAAAAAGTTAAATAAATACTACAAAAAAACCACCCTAAACATAAGAAAAAATGTTAAAGAGATGCAGGAAGACTCTGGAACAGTGGAAAAACTGGTGGCAAGGGCAGAAGGGCTCAGGAAGGATGCTCTGGAGGTGGAGCACAACATCAAGGGTTCAGGAGGTGATTTCCTGATGGTTTTAAGACCTTTTTTATTGCCTGGAAGGTTGCTTTGGCTGCCCATGTATATCACAGATACAGTCACAGCATGGGGGCCACAGGTCTTAGGGACAGGCAGTGCCTCAGCTTCACTCCCTGAGAGAAAACTCCCATCTGTCCTCATATTTCTCAGATTTTCCAGGGTTAAAAATCCTTGATGGACCATCCAGAACAATTTGGAAGATCTGGGGTTCAGAAGGTCCTCATAAGAGATAATACAGCAACACCCCCACCGTGGGGGTCCCTCCAGAGCAGAAATAACAGGAACAGTTGTTATACATTATATGTTATATGTTATATACTATATCAATATATTAATATATTTATATATTAATATTACATATTAATATATTCTATATTAATATATTTATATATTAATATATTAATATAGTAATATATTTTATATTATATATTATATTATGTTATATATTATACATCATATGTTTTATTTTATATTTTATATTTTATATGCTGTATGTTATGTATTATATGTTATATATTATATATATCTATATTATATATAGATATATATTATATATTATAGATATCATCTATTATAATATATTATATATATAAAAATCCAAGAAATCCAGATTGAGACAATTTTGGAGCAGAGCAGGCTGAGAAATGAAGGCACTGAGAACCTTCAAGCCAAGATTGGATCCCCTATTAGAGCCTCAGTTAATTAGGGCAGTTAAGAGGCTCCAGTGAAAGTTCAGAGTGTGCATCCAGACCTGCAGAGCTGAGCCCAGCCCTGGTGCTGTGCAGGAGCTGCAGATGGCAGATTAAGAGCCCTGCAGGATGATGCAAGTGCTTTTGTGCAAGGCAGCAGCAGCACAAGCAGCATCATGCCCTGAAAGCTCTGGGAACACTCCTGTGTCCCAAACCTGGCAGAGCTCTGCTAATTAAACCTGCCAGCAGCATCCAGAGGAAATCACGGAGTGGAGAAGCGCTGCTCCAACTCGTTGTCCCCTGAAAAGTCAGGGAGTTGTTGGAGATGTGATTTCTGCTGGCTTCACAGCAGTTTCCCATCTCGGTTTCTGTTAAGCAAGCTGGGTGTCAGAGGGCTGCAACCTCTGGGGACTCTGCCAGCGTCCTATAAAATGCCACTGGAGAAGCTGAGTCTCTCTGCACAGCCTGGAGAGAATTCCTTGCTTGCAAACAAGTGGATTTTCCCTGGATTCTGTCCTCAGTGTAGAGGATTAATGCAAAATTTGGGCAAACAGACAAATTTATTCCAATTTCCAGCTGGGAAGAGTGTCCTTCCTGCAGGAAACTCTGGAGAAAGAGCATCTATTTGGAGCTGTGTCCACAGAGCAACCACAGCTGGTGCAGATAAAACCTCACAGCCATGCTGCAGCAGTGAGAAAGGCCCCCAAACCCTTCCAAGGTTTAATTTTGTTTGCTCTCTGCTTAGTGAAAGTGATGCAGGGATGGGAATCCCTCTGGATCCATCTCTGTGGATGGTTTCCTTCAAAGCCTGGCTCAGCCTTTATGAAATCCTCTCCCTTTTCAAAGCTGCTCTGTGGCAAGGAGGAACAGCCAGCACAGCAGCTCCCTGTACCCACAGTGAACTTTGCTTTAAAGGATAAAGAATTACAGAAAAAAAAAACCCAAATCAAAGTGTTTTTCAGCAGAGCTGCCCTGGCATGCTGAGCACCAAGGCTGGTGCTGGAAGGCAGTGCCAGGTTATTTACAGCTCTGGGACTGGCAGGCAGAGGTGAAGTTGTCTCCCTCGGAGAGCAGCCTTGTAAAACAGGTTTGGGATGAAGGATCCCCTTTCAGAATGAAGGATGCTGGCTCCAAGGGGGGCTCTGGTTCTGCTGATAAATCAAGGGTTTTATTGAACTGTACCAGCTGCTGAGGAGAATTCTCACTTTCCAAGTGTGAGTGGTTATTACCCAGCCTCACAGACCTTTTCCTGGCTGTTTTTTTTGTACTGGTTCTGGTGCAAACTCTTAATTTTCCTTTAAAGCTGCAGCAGGAAACGAATGCAAAGTGGATCTGGGGAGAGCATTAAAGGTTTGCTGGGTAAAATACGCAAATAGCACTGGGTGGGAAGTCAGGACAAATGTCTCTGTGCCTTTCACTTGTGTCTGCTCAGCAGGAACAGGGGGTGAGTGACTCTCACCCCAGGCTCCTGAGAAGTGGAAGATGTGTTCTCTGTCTGAGACAGAGATATCAGGCTTTGCACTGCCCTAACTATAGGTGTCTGTGTTCTGCTGGTTTGCATTCCTCTTCTCTGTCTGCTCCCTGAGACAAGCAGGGTTTCCTAATTCCACAGAAGGAGCTTTCCCAGCTCTAAACACAACTGCTCTCTTCCCTACAGGCCCACAGCAAAGACAGGCTGGAATCTGCATTAATTCTGCAGAACTGAAGGGCAGAGGTACCAAAACCAGGCTTATTCTGTGACACTTTGGTGCCACCAAATCGCTGAGCTCCCAGGTTGGCAGTGCAGCAAAACAAAGCCCAGCTCTGGAATGCTCTGCAGTTCTGGAGTCAGACAACAGCCAGGGATGAGGAAATCCTTGCAGATAAATCCTGGACATCCAGCACTGTGTGATAGGCTCTGTCCAGACACAGCTTTATTCTGGTCACAGCTCCAGTGGCAGGATGGATTTGGAGGCTTTAAAGCTACTGTGGAGCTGCTGGGATGCCAAGCTGGGAAAACAGGGATGTGACCTGGTGTGAGGTTGGTGCTTATCCCTTCCAAAAGGGCAGCAGCAGCCACTCTCCCAGTTTGTGGTTACATTCCAGCTGGGCTGATTTGATAAGAAGAGGTGTTAGACACCAGGGGCTTGGAAATACTCATTGCTCTTTGTGGCTCTTGCTGAGGCTCCACCTCTGGTGAATAAATCAGGGGTGGGAACAAACACTTGTAGGCAACAGCTTTTGTGCTAATTGTTTTTGTCTGAGTGAATGCTCGCTCGAGTTACAGCACGATCAAACTCGTTGTCAGGACAAACTCGAACATGTGCATGATTCATGTTGATAAATCCTAAATCCTTTAGGCTGAGTAGCAGCAGAGCTAAAGGTGGCACAAGGACTCTGAGAAAGGAATCAAACAGCATTTAAATCCCGGTTCTCTGCTCGCCCAAGGTTGTGTCTTTAAAACCAGGGTGCTGGAGATGTCTCCAGCCCCAGGAGGAAGGATCTGGGCAGCTTTGCTTCCTCAGGAAGCTGCTGTTCACCTTGTTCCAGGCAGGAATTGGACACCCCAGCAAACACCAGCCATAAATTTATGTTGGAGCTCTGAACGTTCGGGGCTGGCATCAAAACCACGAGGACAGGCAATTATGGAACAAACAGCAGGCTGGCAAGCCCTGCAGGAATTTGGGAAAGGCTGTCTGAGACATGGAAAAGGCTTTGTCTGGTTTCAGTGAGGCTGCAAGCTGGAGATGACATGGCAAGGAAAGACCAGAGAAGCCAGAGATAAGCTCTACACAAGATGCTCTTTCAGCCTGATGAGATAAATCTCCCTAGCTCCTTAGAAAGAGTAAAATTGTTCTTCCCATTAAGGGAACTCAAGAATTTCTCACAACCTGTGTTTGCCTGGTCACCACATCACAGCACTGGTTTGGGGTTTAGGAGATCTTAGTGCCCTTCCAGGTCCTGACTGTGTGACTCCAGGCACGTTGTTTAATATAATTATTATTTTACAGGTCTCCTTTTTGGCATCTCTCCTGTCCTGTCTGCTTAAAAAGTTTCTAGGCCAGGTCCTGCTTCTACCATGGAGACGAGCAGCAGCAAACGTGGTGAGACCCTGATTTTTTTGCTAGAACAAGTGAAATCCTCCTCATCCACTCAGAAAGCAAACAACAGGAGGCTTTGAGCAAACAAAGGTGAAAGACATTTCATTAGTGAAATCTCCCTGGCTGTCCATCCTCTGAACCTGCTGTAGCAACACCTCAGGGGAAACAATCAGCTTTTCTGCTTGCACCAAGGTTTGGGGTTTTTTTCCATTTAAACTTCAAAAGACTCTTTCCATAGGTGTGGCTCAACAGAAAAGAAAAAAAAAACAACAAAACTAAAACCTAATCTCACTGTAAGGAGCTGAGATTGCAGTTTTCAATATCACTGCCCATGAGTAACTTGAGCAGCTGCTGATTTGACAATTTGTATTCTGGAGGTGCTGACCCTGAGCACCTTTCTGTGGGTAACACCACACAAACACTGTCAAAACTCAAGAATATTTTAAAAAACTTAGAATCTGGGGCTTTGATTCAGCCTCTGCTGGAAGTCAGGTGTGCTGGCAACCAGGATCTCCATCCCTAAATCCAGCCTGCGGCACAGCTCCAGCGCCGTGCTGCTCCAGCAGGCTCAGGAGAACGACAATCCCATGGGAACAGCACCCAGGCAATGTCAATTCTCCACAGAACCCTTCTCACCACTGCATCCCAGGATTCCATCCCAGGCACCACCTGAGGAGGGATTGCAGGCTGGGGAGCAAAGGCTGTGGTGTGGCATTGGGATCTGCAGGCTGCTGCCGACATGAGGAATAAAAAAGAGGAGTAAAAGGAGAATAAAATTACCTCTTTCCCTGCCTTCTCGATCTCCACCGTCACCGTGCTGTGGTTCTTGTGCTCCTGGAACATGCAGAGGTAGCAGATGCACATCTGGTCCGTCTGGCAGAACAGCTCCATGGTCTTGCCATGCACAGGGCATTTTCTGGCTTCGAAGTCCCTGATGGGGTCCAGGAGCTGGTGGTCCCGGAACGCCGCTCCCTCCAGGTGGGGCTTGAGGTGCAGCTCGCAGAAGGAAGCCTGGCACACCAGGCAGGACTTCACAGCCTTCTGCTTGTTGTCGATGCAGGAGTCGCAGAGAACGTCCTCGAGCTTGACGCGGGGCCGGGAGCCCGCGGCTCTGTCGGGCTTGTTGAAGGGTCTTCTCAGATCCCCCGTCTCCACCAGAGGCAGGGAAGATTTCTTCAGGTCCCCCATCTGCCCCGAGGAGAACAAGGACTTCCTCCCTTCCCCGTCAGCGGGCAGGAAGCTCTTTTTGGAATCCAAGGAGAAGAGGGACTTCCTGAGGTCCCCTTTCTCCGGGAAGTTCAGGGTCGGTCTCCGCATGTCTCCGATCTGGCCGCTGGCGAACTGCATCTTCTTGGAGTCTGCCGAGTCCATGCTGAAGTAGGTTGACCTCTTCTCATCGGATGACTCCACAAACTGAATGATGGGCCTCTTCCAGTCACTCCCAGAGAAGAGGGAGCTCTTGATTTGCCCTGTCTCCAACGCAGCACCGCCCGTGCCTTTTATAGCTTCTTTCTCGCCTCCGCCAGGGCTCGTGGCTTTCTTGGCTTCCTCTTCTTTTTTAGGGGCAGTTGGGCTCTTGACGTCCTCGGGTTTGCCGGCGGTGCCGTTTGTCCTGGCTGCGCTGCCCGCTTCCATGGCCTAAACGGGGTCAGGGGTGTCTGTGCTCACTCTCTGCTCCAGCTCCCGTCTCTCAGCGCCCTCCAAGGCAGGCAGGCTCTGCCTGGGCCTCGTCTCAGCGAGGAATGGCTCCGGAATGCCGAGCTCAGGGAGCCTCTCTGCCGCAGTGACGCACCCGCAGCGCGCCCGGATCGCGCCCAGGTGGATACAGGGGGAAGGAAAGGAGGAAAGGAAGGAGCAGACGTTGAGGGATCAGAAGCTCCAGCTGTGCAGTTAATTATACAAGGCAGTCCACACCCAGGAACATTCTTGTCTAACCAGGTTGGGGAGGAAGGGCTGTTTATATACATAGAAATGTCTCCTTAAAAAAAAAAAAAAAAAAAAAAA